ATCTTGTTTGTTGTTGTCGTCCATTTATGCATTCCTTAGGAATGACTTCAATACTCTCACTATGTAATAATGATGATAATGGTGGTAAAATAATGATGGACTTATAGCATATTTATAAACTCTTCCTGATTCTACAATTTGATCAGAAAAAATTGTACATTAACTTTTTTATTTTCCAAATATTAAACAAACTCGAATATTTATAATGACCCAAAAATGTAAATGGCTCCGAAACAAATAACAACCTATCAATTTCATCCCAATATACCGAACTACCAAGATGTGATGAACTTTCTATAAAGAAGTCTTTATTAAAGAAATATATAAAGAACTTTTTCAATACCATATTACTAATAACCATCAACCAAGATTATCACATCATGAAGGTTCAAGATCGGAATCTGGCAAAATGTTAAATTTAGAAATGAAATGTTTAATTTCTAATCTAAATGGGATGATTGGAAAATTGTCTCATATAATAAAGATGATGTCCCTTACAGATTAAAATTAATTCTTTGTGATCTTGTGATGTATTTTCTAGGTCGACTTTGGAGAATAAATGTTATAATATAAAACAAACTGTGGTTATTATGAAGACCAAAGAAACCGGTGAATTAATTGGTGGCTATAACCCAGCTTGTTGGAATAAAAAAGAATATCCTCCAGATAAAAGTTATTTTATTGAAGAGACCAAAGTATTATTTTTAAACTTGATGAAAATAAATTATCTAGGTCAATAATAAGTAGAAACATGGATCCTGAATGTGCAATACGACATAATAATAAAGATGTTTGTTGTATTGAAGATAATATAAGCTTTTATGGAAATGTTATAAGTTTTCATGATTTAGTATTAGTTAACAGCAAAGATGGTGAACCTTACTGTGATTATAGATATTCTGACAATATTTTAAATACTTATCTTGATGATTTGAAATTTATAAATCGTGAAAAAAGATTTCAGAAGATAGAAAAATTAAAAGTGTATAAATTAGTGGAAGACTGGATTTGGAGTCCTAAATTGAAAACTATTAATTGAAAAGATTTTAAATTATCATTTTTAGAAAAATTTAGCTATAAAATTCAGATTATTATAAATATAGTTTTAATTCGTTTGCCATAATTGCCCTTCTTATCAACAATCATCACTGTATCTGTAATTCCATAATTAGTTTTTTGTTATTGCATAATTAACTTTAATAGTTGCCAAAATTATCTCCAATTATTTGAATTCTTTAGTCAAATGCATTTTTATATATAGTTGTTTTATGTTCATTCATATAAAGAATATTAAGAATCCATAATTATTACCATGATCACTTTTCTTCCAAAGGCAATTATGGAAAACAACTATAATTTAAATACTTTTTACTGTTTCACTAAATTTGTAAAGATAACAGATCATAAAGATAGAGCTTGAATGTTGTAGAGGTTCATCACGTGTTGATTAAATGATTCATTCAGCTGACTAACATAATCTCCTTTCAGTATCATTTTCTTCTGATAATTGATTAAGTAATATAAAAAAATTGTTTATAACAAAAGAATTACCTCGGGTAAATTTAATTGGTGTTGGTATGTGATCAATTCAATTGGGTGACTTTTTGATATGACATAAATTTTGGGAACCGAACCAAACCAAATTAATTTCTTAGTTGAAAATTTGACTGCAAAAGCCTGCAGGTAATTTTGGCAACAGATACACGTTACAAGAATTCACATGATACGCACCACATGGGTGGGTACAAGTATAATCACAAACATAGGGGAAAATGAGGCTTTAACTCTGACGTTGACATCCTAGAACAAAATATTATCAATAATAGAAAACGACCTAATTAAGGACCTAAAAATCCACAATCTAGAAGATAACAATTTCTCCCTATTCTATGACAAACCACAATATACATGAAGCAATGAAAAAACATCTAGAAGATTAATGACTACTAAAAATTTACATGATGCTCAAATAGAACGGACCCCACAAAATGATAATTACAAGCTTATTGAATGACTATATGTTTTACAATAGAAGTGAAGCAATGGAGAGAAGGCTAAGCACAAAAAGAGAAATATTCTGCTATGATAAATAGATGGAACAACTTCATCAAAGAAACAGAAGCTTTACTCAAAATAGTAAAATTAAATTAATCCAAAATTTCCAAAAATAAAAATAGCCGCAATTAATTATATCTGGTACTGGTACAAAAAAACTAATAATAAATGCTTGCCGATAGAAACATTACAAAGAATGGATATTGGACATTAAAAAGGATAATAAACCTAAAACATTAGACAAATAAAATTATTAATTGACGATCCTTTTGTGAACAGTAATAAAATATCGTACGATTTTAGGGAAGAAATTTTTTGCGAGCTAATGATCAAGGCTCAAGGCTCAATGAAATTTAAATCAAATCTAATCAGATTTAGTCACCTAGTTTTTGATTTATTTCATTCGACCATGTTTTGATTCGATCGACTCGAACCTATAATAATAAATGATCTAATCCAAATATATTCCATATGAAATAATTTTGAATTCTGCATTGTTGAAAATGACGTCCCTTAAATTACTTCTTCAACAGACACGACGCAATGTGTTCAAAGAAGAACAAGAAGTGAAGTGTGGAACCATTCCACAGTTGTGGATGGAAAAGCCAAATGCGATTATTGCACTAGGTAAATATATATATATATATATTTTTATTTCCGAAGGCAACTTTTAAAATTATTACAATTATTCATCATTGTTATATAAATTTAAACAATGACTTGTGAAACTGTAAATTATATTAATATTAATATGCAGAGTTTCCTATTTGAGTACAAATTCTTATTCGAACTATATATTCGTTTTATTCATATATGCAATACAAAACAATTACATTAAATTCACGACTCCCCATGTTTACCATAAAAGGCATTTATTGGAACAATCAATGAAATATATAATGTTTAAAAATATTTTGGATGTTTATTTGTCTTCTTAATGAACCAATAGCGAATATGGCGTACTATTGTTTACAATTCATCCAGAAAAGTATGTTGAATGTAATTGAAATCTTGAAGCCTTCTTTTGGGTATTTTATACAGTAAAATACACACTGCACAATCACCCAATTGCTTGAGGCCGTTATGTAATTTTCTTTGTGAAATTTTGTCTTGTCTAGTAATGAATGGTAGTGAATACATGTATATATGAATGTGTGTAAATCAATAAAAATGAGAGAAAATTTAAGGTGAGAGTATATTATACAAAAAGAATGAAATTTACATATAATATTGTAATGATGATAATGACTATGATTGTGTAATGATGAATATGAATTGAAATAAATAAATAAATAAATAAATATATATATATATATATATATTAAGATTATCTTTTAATTCTTTCCAATCTACCGGTGGATAAAGATAAAGACGAAGATGATTGATTATTGATGGTACTGATGGTAGAAGTATTGTGAAGAGGAGGAGTCATAACAGGACTTTTTTTTTGATTATAATGATGAACCTTATCAACAAAATAATCATTAATAATACTTGATTCATTTTCATTGAAGTAAGGAGATTGAGAAGTTGAGGAATCTTCATGATCACTATAAAAAGTACTAAGTCGTACACTTGGAAAAGCACTTGGTATTGGAGAATAAGGTGGAGTCGCTATATTGTCACTGCCAGGATGCCTGTCAATAATAGGATAATTTTGAGGAAAATCATCTTTAGGATCAAAGAAGAATGGACACAATCCTGATTCGGTGTATGAAGGGAATATATTGTCAAAAGGGAGTTGGATATCGTCGACATGAGGATATGATGACATTGTGATTGGTATTATTATTTCATGGTATTCCATTTTAGTAAGTAACACACCCGTTTCAGTTTGAAGAGCACATCTTAATGTATAATATGTTCTTAGGTGTCTGCCGGTGAAAGTTGGTGGTACATGATAAATTTTTTTGGGAATTGATAGAGAGAAATCCAATTCTCCTGAATTTTTATTTTCAGAAGACAAAATTTCACAACGATTCACAACTGATACCAGTAATCTCTCATGTTTTTCATACATAAAATCTTCGTGAAGAGGACCCTCAAAATGTTTTCGTAAAGAACATTGAACACACGTTATACGTCCACCTGAATGGTTTTTAAGTCTAATCTTAAGATCTAATTCCTCACCTAAATCACGGAAGCAACGATTAGAATAATTTATTAGAATAGCTTAAAAAATCATTAAAGATTTTTACCGGGCGAAAAAACACGCTTTTGTAAAAAAGCTTCAGCCTCTATAATAATTTTTCTTTGTGATTTATGTTCAGTGTATAAAACTTCTCTAAAACACCATTCTTGATTGGGTGGAGCAAATGATATAGGAGTAAAAGGTGTCACTATCTCAGGACCCTCGATAATATTTCCATCCGCCCCTTCTATAACAGGTTTCCAGATATATCTTATTGAAAATCCCCTTGGACCCTTTATATATGAGTGAGAGTACAAGTATTTTGTAAATAATAATATATGTGTGTGTGTGTATATGTGTGTGTATGTATGCATGTATGATAAATAACAAATAATTACCTCTATTGATGGAGGAAAATTAACAGGAGGTAACTAAAATAAAGTTATTACACTATATAACAATTTATTGATCAAATAAACATGTATTATAATTATTATAATATAATAAAAACCTTTAAAGCAAATTCAGATCTATATATCCCCGGTTTTATTCTCATCAAAGGTAAATGTCTGTTAGCTATTATTATTTATTACAAATTAATAAGATTTTTTATTATAAATTACTTGATCTATGAATAATTATAAAATTATTAGTTAATCATCTATATTTACCTCTATTGTCGTTGATGATGTTGTTGTTAAGATTGTTATTAGTCGACGCACACCAAACTACATAACTACATTCAAAGTAAGTTGTCCGTACACTATCCAAACGCCTTTTTTTAAATACACCGCTATCTTTAACTTTAGCCGAAGCTGTTTCTTCGCCTTCAGATTAATAAATAATAAATAATATGATTGTTATTATTATTTGGATTGATTAAACTAAATAATCCAAAAATCCAGTTTATTTACTATGATTTTTACCTTTAAAAAAAATTTTGATAGCAGATGCAAGTAATTGTGGGCAATCTTTTGGAATTGACAATATGACTGCACCTGAAAATTATGATTGATCAGAATCAATGTTATATAAATATGATTTATTATTATATGTTATTTAATACCCACCTCTAACAATAATGTCAGGCCTTAGTTGTAATGCTCTACCAACTTCAAATTCTACATGCAAGTGTGGTGAATTAATATTGCTTACTTTGGTAATGTTCTTGTCTTCCGCGCTTCCTATTGAACTTAATCTCGATCTGATTCTTCTACTCATATAATAATAATAAAATTATTATTAATTGTTGTTAGCATTTGTTATAATAATTAATTACAAGTATGATTGCATTATTATGATTCTTATTATTAAGAAGAGCGCACGCATAATTTCTTTATTTTTACATAATCTAAAGAACGCGCGCGGAAACTCTTTTTTGATTTTCAAAGCTTATTATTATTTCATTTCACATTGTTAAATAAGTAAATAATCGAAATAAGAAAGTATGGTTCTCTTTACCTCATTAATATAAATGTTTTGATTTAAAAAAAAGAAAAATTTATTTCAAGTTTTTTTTTTTTAATTTTTTTCATTATATTTTTGTGTAGATGAATACGATTGTACAAATTGGGACTAGAGAAAAGTATATGCGTGCATATTTTACCATATAACCAAATTTTTTAAAGTTAAGCTGTTAAAAAACGGAATTAAATTGGTGCAACAAAATTATCAGGATCTCAGGTATCTCAAAAATAATTTTAAATATTAAATATAAACACTTGGTCAAAATAATAGAGAGATCACTAAATTTTTCTTAATATGGTGAGATGCCCTAATTAAATCAAAATCAGGTGATGTAACGTAATGCTGATCAATAACAATAAAAAATTGTACCAGAGCCTTAAATAAAGAGATACAGACATGAACTAAGGGAAATTATAGTAGATAGATTACAGAGAGTTTTTTTTTATATATTCTAAAGAAATTGAAAAAAGGTTGCTAATAGAAAAACTTTCTAACCAAATGAGATAGGAAAAAAAGCTCTCTGTAACTTTATTATAGAAGACTTAAACAATAAAACTATAAAAAGTTTTGTTTAATTTTATTATGAAAAAAAAAAAAAAAGAAATATATTGATATGATAAAGATACTAAAAAATTCGCACAATAATTTATTATATTAATATTGATGTAACATATGTTTGGTTGATGATCAACAGCTATCGAACACCACACATACATTAATTTCGTTTTTTATAAACATATGATACAAGCCGGCTATAAATTGACTTAATTGGTGACACGTGAATGAATCGAAAATGATCAATATTTTATCGCCATATGACATATTGATATTGAAATTAATATTAATATTAATATTAATTCATGAATAAACTTAATCTTTAAAATCAATTTGATCTTAAAATCAATAGATGTTCGGGAAATCGTGAAATCCATAGGATTATATGAATATTTTAGTGTGATGAACAAATGTAGGACGTGCAGTTTTTGGAGATCATAGAAAATCTAAATATTAGAAAATTAAATTATTTTTATTTTTTGTTATTATTATTATTATTATTATTATTTTTTTTTTAATGTGTAATAAATAACTCCTTCCACTTTGCGGGTAAAAATTTTGTATGTGTCACGTGTTTTAATAATTTCGTTCAGTTTATTTATTTCCTATTACTATTTCGTAAACACCAATGCAACAATTTCATTTGATCCAAAATTAATTCAATATTTGATATGAAAATGTAAAACCCAAAGCTGATAGTAGTTTGACTAGCAAAAAAGAACAAAAACAACTTGTGATCAACCGCCGACTTTTTCAATTCCGGGACTAAAGTCAAGATAATAAAGGTTGGTGATGAATGAAACATTCAATTTTCAGAGATTTATTAAACCACATTGTATATTTAATTAAATGTTATACAAGACGGCTGTTGATACAACTTTTGGAAGAGTTGCGAAAATGAAATGCCCGGTATTGAGCTTGGGTCCTGGAAGAAATAATCTGTATGCATGCTATTAATAGCAATGAAAATGTTATATCATAACCGAATAAGGAATGTCGAGAACTCGGTGGGTTTATTTGGACGCATAAAAAAGGAGAATTTTGGTTAGCAACAAATGAAAAAAATATTCGAATAAGGAATATCGGGAACTTTTATTCGGATGCAGAAAAAAGAGGAAAATTTTGAATGAAGCGTAGATATTGGATTGACAATATTCAAAAAAAAAAAAGGATCAGCAATATTATTTATATTTGAATTGCTCCCGCAATCACATGCTTCCTTCCATATTAATATATTCATAGTTGATGTATTAAACTACCCCGCTTAACTGCTCGACTTTTATGGAAAAAAAAAAAACAACGCTGACGTTTTCGTTTTGATGAAAATAAAAAGCATGGCAAAATGGAATAAGAGAGCAATAGTTACTTTTGGAAATGCGGGTTTCTCGTCAACATCCCGAGCTAAACGTCATTGCGAGGCAGTAGAGGTAGATAGATTTCATGCAAGCCGGATTTGTCCAAGGTGCAACCGTATCCTTGTGTTTATTAAGCAGCACAATTGCTTATTTATTTTTGTTTGTTTGAAATCATGGGTAACACTAACAAACCAAAGGTCCCACGTTCGGAGGATACCCGTAACGTCCATGATATTTTATTTCCCAACAGTATGATGGAGCAAGGTCTTTAATGCTTCAGCGGATGCAACCTGAGTATTACTAGTAATAGGTGCGAACAACAATACCGGAAGCTAGTTAATTTATAGACGCAGTAAATGATCTCACGCTAACTCAAAGTATAAATGATCAACAACTTGAAACAATTAAAATAATAAATAATAATAATAAATTAAATATTTCTATATAGAATGTTTAATTAACCGTTAGATATAAAATTTAACTACATGCATGAGATAATGAGTGATCAAAAATAATGTCCCAATCGACAAACTAGTCAACAAATGATTTAAATCTGACTAATTTGGGATATAACTGCATAATAACGTGTGTGTTTAATGATTGTGTAACTCTCGCTTCAATACAATTTAATCACCTTATATATTCATCAAATAAACTTATTTTAGACAAAATAGGGGAAAGTTTTAAAAATAATTGTTAGATAAAATCCCCACTTATAATTTCCCTTTCCCAGAAATTTCAATTTGCAATTTTCTTTACCAAATTTCCTTTCCTTTCTTTGGCTCTACATCATCAACCCATTGTCATCCTCACCACCTTCATTATTCATTCATAACCGATGGTTAATTAACACACTACAATATATATATAATCACATTATTATCCTCCTCTTTTCACTCTTTTTTTCATCATTACAAATTTTTTTTTCGATAAAAAAACTTTTTTTTGTAGAAATAAAGGATATTTTGATATATTTTATTATTATCTTTATCCAAAATTATTTATTTTTTAATTAATAGAAATATCAAAACAATATAACAACACGGCTTTCATGCTGGTACATGAGTTTTTAAAATAATTAATAGTTTTAATCAACCTTTCTTCTCGTTCCCTCCTCCCCCCCTTTGCACGTATTCTTATTATTATTATATACATATATATATATATTTTTTTTTTCAAATGAAGCAAATATCGATATCATTTTTAATATTAATTGTAATATCATTAGAGCTATGCACTTTCTTCATATCGACTGTTTTTGCATCAAAGACCTTAAAAGGTTACGAACTTGCAAAAATTGATCAATGTGAAAAGAAATTTTGGTGGAAAAATCGTAAACAATTTCAAAAGGATTTGGAGAACCTTTGTATGAAACAACAACATGACCGTCACGACAAGTATAAAAAACGATTTCACAAGGGCAAAGACTGTGACAAATCTGAATCATGGAATCTTAAAAATTGGACAAACAAAAAGAATACTTGGGAAAATCGGGATCAAAGAAAATGCAAGTCTTTAAAGGATAAGGGTCGTTGGAAAAAATCTCAAAAATTACTTTGGAAACAATTTCAAAAGCTTTCAGATTGTAAATGTTCTGCTCCAAATTATAAAGTAACTAACCCGGCCGGATTATCTGTTTGTTACCAAATTGCTTCGCTTAATAAAGCTAGCGGTGGCTTTATTGGTAGCTTTACTATATTCAGGTCGTTAAAGTATGATGAACTCAAAGGAAAACCTGCTTTAATAGCTATCAAATACGACGAAGATATAAAAGTGAAAATTGGCAGATCAAATAAAAATGATGATGGCTTTTTTAACTTGAAACCATTATTCACTTTCAAAGTCAAAGGCTCCGGTGGAAATACAATATTGGTCAGCAAAGCTTTCATTGAGGGACAACTTCCAAGTAAAAAGTCCATGAATAAAATATGCATAGATGATATCAGTCCCGTAAAATATAAGGTTAAAGTTAAACTAGGCAAAGACACTAAAAAAGTTTTCGGACTTAAATTGGGCTCTGATGTTAAAAATATTCCAATCTCAAAATTCATACCCTCGAAACCATATTCTCCATATTTGATTGAGCCTCCTCCAATTAATAATCCAGGTAAAAAGAAAGAACAACCAACTACAACTACCCAGTCTCAAGATCAACCAACTGAAACTAGTCAAAGTCCAGATCCAAACCAGCCGGCTCCAACTAACACAGATCCCAACCAACAAGCTCCAACTAACGATCCCAACCAACTAGCTCCAACTAACGATCCCAACCAACAAGCTCCAACTGACACAGCTCCAGCTGACACAGCTCCAACTGACGCAGCTCCAACTGACGCAGCTCCAACTAACGATCCAAATGCAACTAACAGTCCAGATCCAAATCCAGCTAACCAAAATTCAAACCAGCAAGATGCTAATAGCTCAAGTGTGAGTCCAACCGCGCAAGTTGCTAATGCAGATTCTACTGCTGCTGCTGCTAATGATGCTGTGCCAGGATCATCAATAAGCACCCCACCAATAGGTCTTATAGTATTTGCTGTTGTGGTAGCTGTTGGTGCAGCATTTGTCGGCTACACTACTTATGAACGACGTAGATACAGAAATCAATTTAATCGTAGACAAAACATGCAACAACAAAATCCTTCTTTAGCTGCTGTTCCTGATTTTGGTAGAGCCGTTTAAAAAAAAAAAAACCAAATAAATATAAATTTAGAATAATTTAAAGCAAAAAAAAAACAATTTGTAGAGTTAATAATTTCGTTGTTTAAATTTTTTTAAATAATAATAAAATAATTGTAAGTATTAACATATTAATATACGATATATGCGGATTTTATTAGTAAAGTTGCCTCATTATTTATAACTTTATTTTTTATTAACAAGATTTAAAAAAGCCTCTCCTGTATACTATTATAGCTCAAGTCTTCTAGAATAAAAGTTTTGCTCTAGCATGTTTGGTTGCATCATTAACAAAAAAAAAAAAAAAACTGTGTACTACTGTTGTAGTATCTATCAATGATGTTGTGTAGCATAGCATAATTAATGTAAAAAAATTTTTGGATCAAATTCACATAATAACAAGGATATATAAAAATTAAAAATCATGGTATTTCACCCGTTAGTAAATCCATCAAGATGGAAATATGGCAAAAAGAATATATATTTTCCCAGCATGATATTTAAATTGATCAGAACACCTTCTTTACCACCAAATCAAGTTGCCTTTAAAATACCACGTAGTTTAAACAAACTTGACATTCATTCCTACTTAACGAAACTTTATAAACTTGATATTGTGGATATACGAACAATGAATTATCAAGCAAAACGACCGTCTTTAAACAAATACTCAAAAAGAGTCAGTACTAAATCTACATCTGCGTACAAAAAAGCTATTGTTATCCTGACCGAAGATTTCAATTATCCACCCATATCCATTGATTATGTTCACACACCCGAATACATCACCGCAAGCGAATCTCTACGTGAATCGCACAGAAGGTTGGCTGGTTGGAAATCTAGACCTAGAAGAGTTGCTTATCAAAGAAAACAAGAGTTTATAGAGGAAAGAGAAATTAAGAGGCAAGAGGATATAATGAGAAAGAAAGAGGAAATTAAAGAAGAGAAGAGAAATATGGAAGAGAAGAAAAACCATGGATTTGTTAATTTTGTAAAAAATGCAGGTCGTTCAATTATGCCTTTTAGAAAAAATTAAATAAATTGATGATGATGTATATATATTTTTTTAAGCATCAAAATATATTACCGTGAAATGTTGAAATCGAACACCCCCTTTTTGTAAATAATGTCTTGATTAATTTTCTTTTTTCAATAAAAAAATTTATAAAATGCCAGATCGTTACATAAATAACCATTTAACTTTACCAAATATTAAAGATTTCGATACAAAAAGTTTAGACCATTTGATTAAATATAATTGTGAAAAAATTTTATATAATTATTCTGCATCTTTTCGTTCAAGTGATTATGGTGTTTATGTCGGTAATTAACCACTCATTCAATTGTTATTATTCTCTTTGACCAATTCGGAAGAATCCCTTTCGATTCACCTTCATTCACCCTTTGCCTCTTCCTTCATCCTATAGGCTATGCAGGAATAGCATATTTATTTTTTCATTTATACAACTTGACTCCAGAATTAAAAATTGCAGGCGACAATGTATCTTTACTATGTACTACTTATCTTGCAAGTGCACTATCAGCTTTAGATTATTCCACCAGTAAACATGTAGGTTTTTTAGATACCCATGTAGGTCCACTTGCATTAGCTACAGTCATTAATCACACAATAAATAACAACAACAACAACAACAACAATAACAACAATAATAACAATAGTAACGGTGATGATGAGGGTAATAGTAACAGCAACATTCATGGCAATGATAACAATAATTTAAAAGAGTCATTAAAACATTTGAAAAAATTAATTACAAAGTATCATGAGATCGCGTTGAATGAAGATTCCAATGAATTATTATACGGTAGAGTCGGGTATTTATATGCATTGAAATTAATCCAAAATTATTGTAAAGATTCTAAAGAAATTATGGAACTGGTAAATAATGAGGTGATTAAAGAAGTTTGGGACAAAGTTTTTGAAGAAGGAAAGTTATTTGCCACGAAATCTAAGCATGATAGTGATGACGAAGATTATGATGATCGCGATAATGATGAAGACATGCCACCATTAATGTGGAGCTGGCATGGTAAAAGATATTTAGGAGCTGTTCACGGTGTTGGTATGTGTTAATCCATATCAAATTAAATCAATAAATCATTAATTAATTGGTCAAGTAAAATGATTTATTCGTTTATTTATTTTTCCTTTGGAAATGATAACATTATTGTTAAAGCTGGCATATTAGCCATCCTATTGGAATTTAAAGATTTGGCAGAACAACATTTAGATGATTTATTTAAAACTTTAGAATGGTTGACCAGACAAGTTTCAAAGAAAAATGGAAATTATCTTATATCTGTTGAATCAAATCGTGATGATTTAGTTCAGTAAGTATAAGAAATATATTCAAAAAAAGGGAAAGATTGATTCGTTCATTCTTCAAGCATTATTTATTCACATCCTCCATCCATCCATCCATCCATCCATCCATCCATCCATCCATCCATTCCAAAGTGTTTGTCACGGTGCACCAGGAATGATTCCTGCATTTTTAAAGATCCATTCATTATATCCAACAAATCCACTCGCACCAACTCTATTGAATTCTTGTATCAATGCATCCCAAATAGTTTGGAAATATGGTATTCTAAAGAAAGGATTAACAGGGCTATGTCACAATGCTATTGGTAACGCATACTCTTTCCTATTATTGTACCTTACAACCAAGGATGAACTACAATTACAAAGAGCATTAGCTATTGGTTTACATGCTGGTAATTGGGAAGAAGAAACTAGGAAAGGATCGATAAAAGTACCTGATAGACCATGGAGTCTTTGGGAAGGTTTGGCTGGTGGTGTTTGGTATTGGGCCGATTTGAATTTAATTATAAAAAATTGTCAAAAAAATAATAGCGAAGATAATAATAATAATGAAAATTTTAATGACAAGATTATTAAAGAAAAAGTTAAAGGGTTTCCTTGTTTTACAGATTTATAAATTATAAAAATCATAATCAGTATTATGTAACTATTATTATTATGTAACTATTATTATGTAACTATTATTATTTTGCTGTATTAATAATGATAATTATAACAATACTAACTTATTCTATATGATAACAATAATTTCTATATAAAATATGTTGTTATAATTTTTAAATTTTAAAATTCGGATCACCATATCTAAAATATAAATAAACCATTATTAAACTAAAAACTGATGGCGTTAATCTAAGTTGCATAACAAAATAAATCCATAATGTTGCTAGCGGTGGACATCTTCTCATTACACCATAATATGACGATTTATTAACAATATAAATCAAATATGAACCACAAAGGATTGATCCAAAAAACATTGGAATTTGAATCCAATTTTTTTCTACGTATTTATTTGTGAAATAAACAAATATCCAAACAACTATCACAAACATATAAATATTTTTAATTTGTTAGCAAATTATTTAATTTTTAAGTAAGGAATTTCAATATTGATTTATAACAAAAACTTACTTGGTATAATTTTAACAAGTTTTATAATAAGTTCATCAAATAAAACATCTTGATTATATTGTTTATGTACTAAAATATCCATCATGGAATAAGTTGCACACAATGGTATAGTATATAAAATTGCTTGAAAAGTATAACCGTACTTAAATGGATCATCGTCATCGTCGTCGTTGTCACCATCATTTCCTTTATTACTAATACTGTTATTATTGTTGTTGTTGTTGTTGTCGTCGTTGTCGCCGTCGTCGTCGTCGTCGTCGTTGTTGTTGTTGTTACCTTTTCCAGTATTGAATTTGTTTTCCTTTAATGCCTTGTTTACATCAACTATTTCAACATTTTTAAAATTGTTCATTATCCCAGTTTCTTTTATTAATCGAAGTTTTTCATCATCTGGAATATCGTCATCTGCATAAGTCATACCACCAATACCACTACTGCTACCAACAATATTATTGTTACTACTATTATTTTTTCTTCGACGAACTTCTTCTTTTTCTATCGGTTTACCCATGTTGTATTTATTTATTTTTTTTTTTGGGAAAAAAGATGTAAATTTATGACGATCATTTTCTTAAATACTTAATATGGGGCATAAAGATTTCAGGGCCCAAAAATTAGTATGTACTAGTTATTGTACGGGTGTTTAAGCAAGCTATGACGCAGTCATAGCTTATACGAATTTTTAAATATCCATACAATAACGTCTATATTGTGAAACTGAGCT